CAGAGGTTGCTTCCAAATCTTGGCTATTATGAATAGTGCTGCATAAAACATGGGAGGACAGAAGTCGTTGGATATACTGATTTTCTTTCTTTGAGGTATAAATCTAGATGTGGGATTGCTGGATCCTATGGTAGTTCTATTTTTAGTTTTTTGAGGAACTTCAAACCGTTCTCCATAGTGCTTGTAGTGATTTACATTTCCACCAATAGTGTATAGGGTTTTCCTTTTCCCCACATCCTCGCCAGCATTTGCTATTGCCTGTCTTTTGGATATAATACGTTCTAACTGTGGTGAGATCATATCTTATTGTAGAGTTGGTTTGCATTTTTCTGACAATCAATAATATTGAGCACCATTTTATATACCTGTTGGCCATTTGTATGTCTTCTTTTGAGAAGTAGCTGAAAAACCATATGATCATTTCAATTAATGCTGAATAAGCATTTGATAAAATTCAACAGTTCTTCATGATAAAAACCTTTTAAAAAACTGGATATAGAAGTAATTATCTCAACATATAAAAGCCATATACAACAGACCCACAGCTAATATCATCTTGAATGGGGAGAAACTGAAAGTCTTTTCTCTAAGATCTGGAACTCAACAAGGATGCCCACTTTCATTACTGTTATTCAGAATACTACCAAAAGTATGAACTAGAGCAATCAGATAAGAGAAAGAACTAGAGGGCATCCAAATTGGAAAGGAAGAAGTCAAATTAGCTGTGTTTGCAGATGATATGTTTTATATTTAGGAAAACCTAAAGACTCCACCAAAAATATAAGAACTAATAAATTTAGTAAAGTTGCAGGATACAAAATCAACATACAAAAATCAGTAGCCTTTCTGTATGCCAACAGTGAGCAATCTAAAAAAGAAACTCAGCAAGTAATCCCATTTATAATAGCTACAAACAAAAATAAATGCCTAGGAATTAACCAAAAAAGTGTAATATCTCTGCAACAAAAACTATAAAACACTAATGAAAGAAATTGTAAGAGGACACCAAAAATGGAAAGATATTCCATGTTTATGGATTGGAAGTATTAGTATTGTTAAAATGTCCACACTACCCAAGGCAATCCACAAATTCGATGTAATCTCTACCAAAATACTAATGACAGCCTTCACAGAAATAGAACAAACAATCTTAAAATTTATATGAAATCACAAAAGATCTAGAATAGCGAAAGCTGTCCTTAACAAAAATAACAAAATTAGAAGAATCACAATACCTGACTTCAAATTATACTACAGAGTTATAGTATCTGAAACAGCATGATACTGGCATAAAAAAACAGACACATAGACCAATGGAACAGCATAGAGAACCAAGAAATAAATCCATATATCTACAGTTAACTCATTTTTGACAAAGATGCCAAAGCCATACATTAGGGAAATGACAATCTTTTCAATAAATGGGTCTGGGGAAACTGAATATCCATATGCAGAAGAATGAAACTGGACTCCAATCTCTTGCCATATACAAAAATTAAATTAAAATAGACTTAAGGCCTAAATCTAAGACCTCAAGCTATAAAACTACTAGGATGGAACATTGGGGAAACTCCAGGACATTTGACTGGACAAACATTTACTTAGTAATACCCCACGAACACAGGCAACCAAACCACAAACTGAAAAATAGGATCACATCAAATTAAAAAGCTTCTGCACAGCATAGGAAACAGCCAACAAAGTGAAGAGACAACCCACAGAATGGGAGAAAAAAATCTGCAAACTATCCATCTGACAAGTAGTTAATAACCAGAATATATAAGGAACTCAAACATCTCTATCAAAAATATCTAATAATCCAATCAAAAAATGGGGAAGAGATGCATTTTTCTTTGGGACTGTTGATTTCCCTTTCTCTGGAACATCTTACTGCCTTTGTATTTTCTTTATTTCTCTACTTTTATTTAAACTCAAGTTCTGTAGAGGTCTCATTCATTCTGTTTGCTTGGGCATCTCTGCAGATATCCTCTTTCAGCCTTCTACCCTTCCTTGTATTTATGCTACATTATAATTTGGTGACTTCCTTCCCCTGCTCTCCTGAATCACAAACACTGTTTTCCAGGTGCCGTATTCAGTGGTGTGCAGGTAAAAGTTTCACATAGGTTCTCGAAACATACATACAAACAAATTCTAATTTTCAGCATTTTCTGATTTCAATTTTGCAAATATTCCCATCATGGCAGACATCAAGTTCCCAACTTGAGGTCACAACTGCAGAATAGGGAAGAGATGCCTGCTGCCCACCCCAACCTCCACCAAGGCTGGCATCATCCCCACACCACAGATTAGAGCCATTTTAACAGAGATATTTCTAAAGAACAGTCATTCTTTTTCTGACTCAACGAAGCAACTTGGATATAATTTCATCGTATTTGGGTTCTCTGGGTCATTATTATAAACAATACAGTCAAGGGCAAAAAGTGGTTTCTCAAGAGATTCTGACATTTAGAGAGAAGATATTAGCCAGTAAACTAAATGGCTAATTAACTTAAAATGGAAGTTAGATGAAGTAATTAAGTGAAAAGTACAATGGTATTTTATTTTTGAAGTGTTTGCTGTTGTTAGTTAGCTTTTAAATGCATAATACTCAAATCTAGTTTTCACAGTTTGTATAGTTGGTATAGCTGCCCTTCTCCATATTCTCGATATGCTCCTCTCTGTTTTTCATGTCTTTTTTTTGTGCTCTTATTTCTTCCCACCTCAATTAATTTTTTAAGTTTTCAGGAAATAAATATTAATAAACAGAGAGAGTGTCTTGAATATAAAATGCAGGTTTTCTCATAAGTGGCATTAATTTGGCTTCTCTTTCATTACCTGTGTTTTCTTTAATATTGTAAAAGAGAATGCTCACCATGCATCTTCTGACAGAAAAGAAAATGAGTTTTTCTCTATTTGAAAAGTTCACTTTAAAGGTATTTGTCATGCACAACTGCTTTAAACTAGTGTTGTTTTTCAGAATGAATTGCTTGTAGCTACTCTTCAGTGTTTCTTTCTTTTTTTTGGTATTTGAGTTATGTTTAGACATTTAAAAAAATACATATTTGTATCACTGATGGACCAATAAATAAAATGCTGTATAGAAAGGTTGAGAGGAACTGATTTTTAGGGAAAGGTTCCTAGGGACTAATTAGAGTCACAAGCAGAGACAAACAGAAGACTGAAAACACTGTGCTGCTTCTTACCTTGCTCTGATATTTTACATTTTAGCCATTTCTGGACATTGATGGATTCAGATGAATCCTGAATGAATCTTGATTCATACCACTTCGTGATCAGGAAATACCCGTGAAATGAATGTAGATCTGATGTGGCTGTCTTTAGGCATTCGCTCTCTTCCCTTTTCCTCCACAGCTTGCTGAAGGCAAATCTTAACCCAGGTAAATTCAGCTTACTGGATAGAGGACATTTCTGTATGTCCAAGGAAATTAAAGCTATTCAACCATACACCTGCCGCATAACTAGAAAACTATCTAGGGTGCCATTTTTACTTCAAAGCTGCAGTTTCCAGTGCCGTCAGTATGGCTAATCACTGGATCATTTTATTGGAATTACTGTGTTATCAATACAAATCTAGAAAAATACCTGAAATGTGTAATGATTCATGTCCAAATAGAATAGGTGAAATTGTAAAATTTTTTACTGTAGAATACAAGAAATACTGTTAGTGCGTGATAATGACACTTTTGGCATTCACTGGACCATATGAAATGCATTTGTTTCATCACAAGTGGTTGTGTGTGTATCTTGACACATTTTATAATTGTTTTAAAATGTAGATGTATGTAACACAAATATAATAAACTGTGGCATGTCTAAAATTGTAATGACCTCATAATTTCTATTGGGTATTTTAAAAGGGTCCTATCTAACGTAAGGTGAATTTTCTTGTTAGGTATATGATCACAATGAAATGTGATTCGAAGGGGTTAACTGTAGCTTTAGATCAGGGTCTTGAGCCCAGAGTAAGTAAACAAGTGAGCTTCATTTTGAGCAGGTGGTTACCCGTTATCAGCAATGGCAATCTAAGGAAAGGAAACAAAACAGATTTGGCTAATGTATATTTCATATAGGAAAGCAGGGATAGGTAGAAGTTTTTGTTTTTGTCTGTTTTCCAAAATGATACTGGTTCTAGTGTCCCAAGCCTGGAGTTCTTTGTTTTTGATCCAATTATGTTGTACTAAGCCAATCGTTTTATTAAAAATGATGATATAAAATAAGCCAAGTCACAGAAAGATAAAGTTCACATGTACTCACTTATTTTCTGGAGCAAAAATGTAAAACAATCGAACTCATGGAGGTAGAGAGTGGAGTGATGATTACCACAGGCAGGGAAGCGGAGCGAGGAGAGGATAAAATGAGGATAGTTAATCAACACAAAAATAGAGGTGGACAGAATAAGTAAGATCCAGTATTTGATAACACAATGGGTTTACTATAGTCAACAATAATTTATCACATATTTTAAAACAAAAGAGTGGAAGTGGAACTGGAATGTTTCTAACAAAAAGAAAAGAGGAATGTTTGAAGTGATGGATACTCTGATTACTCTGCTGTGATTATTATATATGTATGCCTATATCAAGACATCACATGTACCCCATAAATATGTATTTACCTATTATATACCCCAAATAATTAAACATAACTTTTTAATATAAAAATAAAAATGATGAACTTAAAACATAAAAAATCTGTCTGGATTTTCTACTGTAGAAAATGACTTAAGAGGCGTGTCTCTGACTCTCCAGATAGATTCAAAAGCTATTTATACTTGAAGTTATAATGCTCAAAGCTATCATAATGTCTTCTGAAACACAATGCATGAAACAGCACATGAAATAAGAATGAGAATTCTAATAATAACGGTGACAAAAAGTGGGACTGAAACTGAATACGCAGACTCCTCCAGCAGTGAGATAACAATTAAAATGGTATCATGATGCTTGGATTCGACGCTAATGAACTTTCTTTTTTTGCAGCTCTCAGCATTAGAGAGGCAGATCTTTGACTTCCTTGGTTTCCAGTGGGCACCTATTCTTGGAAATTTTCTACACATAATAGTTGTCATATTGGGTTTGTTTGGAACCATTCAGTACAGACCTCGATACATCATGGTGGTAAGTCTTATTTTTATCATTTCTCCTCATATAAATAATTCAAAATTTCTGTAAGAATATAAATAAAATAATTCTAAGTGGCCCCTTCTGATATGACGTGGCATTGCTTTTATAGCCTTCAAATATTAAATTTTGTTAAGAAGCGATTATCTGTGGAAAATATAGCATAATGAGTGTTGTCCAGTGAGATCAAAGCATCATGCTCATAACTGTATGATGGCATGGTGTCACTCACAGTGTAACGGAATTCAAGTTTTTTTTTTTTTGAGACGGAGTTTCGCTGTTGTTACCCAGACTGGAGCACGATCTCGGCTCACCGCAACCTCCGCCTTCTGGGTTCAAGCAATTCTCCTGCCTCAGCCTCCCGAGTAGCTGGGACTACAGACGCGTACCACCATGCCCAGCTAATTTTTGTATTTTTAGTAGAGACGGGGTTTCACCTTGCTGACCAGGATGGTCTCGATCTCTTGACCTCGTGATCCACCTGCCTCGGCCACCAAAAGTGCTGGGATTATAGGAGTGAGCCACCGTGCCCGGCCGGAATTCAAGTTTTATAGGGAAATTCAAAATAGGTTTGGATAGACTAGATCTGCTTATAGTCTTGTATATATTCTTTGGATAGAGTAGGAGGTCTGCTTATATTCTTGGTTATAGAAAAGTTAGATGCAATGTACATTAACTATCAATGTATTAATTTATCATAACTTTCAGTGACATTTGTCACTTCAAAAAGCAAACCTATCTAGCATAATTGTTTAATCACTGAAAACAATAATATATTTTAATTTTAATTGATTTAGAGCATTACAAGTACATGTACGTATGGATATTTGGTACATATCCCTCACGTATTTCATACTAGATGTTATTGAATAGTTTCTCATTTGTCAAGATGAATTTGAAATGTAAATCCAAAATGTGGTCAGTACACACTCCATTATGGGACAGTTTAATGAGGTGTATGCTATGACCCACAATCTAATGGAAGTTATTTACAGTAATTAGTTGTCTTTCCTATAATACAAAAAGAGGGCAATACTGTAGGCCACACACTTGAGAAGTTGTGAGGAATAATACGCATATGTAAGTATTGTAAGTAGGAGTAACATGCTATAAAACGTTCACTGAGCCTGAATAAATGTGCAGTGTTCAGTAGAATTACTGTATGTTTTCTTGGAACACCCTGACATTGTCTCACTAGAAGGAAATCATAGACTTAAAAACATGCCGTCTTTCCATTTTAGCATAATCTAATTCCACCTGTGGAAAATCATAAGTTATAACTTTTCTCTGTTAAATGCATCCATTCTCTATTTTGGTTTTTAAACTTGGCCTTTTGAAATCTCTCACTATTTCACAGAGATGTCGGTATCTGAATGGACCACACTCCAATGGCCTTGGGAGCATTTGATGGCTTTTAATTTGCTGCAAGGACTAAGCAATTTCTGCTCTGCTTTCCTTCTCTTAGAGAAAACCACAGCCAGGCATGGTAGTCCCAGCATTTTGAAAAGCCAAGGCAGGAGGTTTGTTTGAACTCAGTAGTTAAAGAGCAGCTGAAGCTTTTTTTTGTAGAAACCCCATGTCTACAAAAAGTACAAAAATTAGTTAAACACTGGGGCATCTGTGGTCCCAGCTACTCGGGGAGCTGAGGAAGGAGGATCCCTTGAACCCAGGAGATCAAGGCTGCAGTGAGGCGTGATCATTCCACTGTACTCCAGGCTGGGCAGCAGAGAGAAACCTATCTCAAATAAAATAAAATAAATACATAAAGATAGCCTCTGCTAAGTAACTACATGATCTCCTAGAAGGGGATTTCTTGGAGTTGGACTTGCAGCCTAAGATGCTTTCATATCATGCATAATCTCAAGCTATTATTGAATTCTAAATGTCTTCCAGTTTGTTACTATGAATATAGAGCACTTTCACTCATTGCAGACTTTTTTTAATGATGTTGGTGTTCTGCTGAGAAACAAAATGCCTGGTGGCTTTGAAACCACTTCCAGAGAATGAAGCTGTAGGTATAGACCCGTGACATCTAGTTCTGTTGACTTTACCCACTAAATGTTAACCCTGTGTACTATCCACACAACTGCTGCCTTGGTTGGGGCTTTTCCCCTCTCTTCTTCAATAGGTGGACTTTGCCTCTTATTTTCTGCCTTCCTCTCTTCCAACTTGCTCTTTGTGCTTTTCTCAGATCACTGGCTTAAAACCGCCACTGGCTCCTTAGCTGAATAAAATCTAAGAATATTCTTGCCTGATGTACTTGACCTAACTCATGTCTCACAATTCTTTTTTACTTCCTTCTTTCCTTTTTTCTTCCTTCCTTCTGTCCTTCCTTCCTCCTTCCCTCCTTCCTTCCATCCTCTCTCCCTCCCTCCCTTCCTTCCTTCCTCTGTCCCTCCCTTCCTTTCTTCCTTCTTTCCTTCCTCCCTCCCTTCCTGCCTCCTTTCCTTTCCTTTCCTTTTTTCCTTCCTTCCTCCTTCCTTCCTTCCTTCCTTCCTTCCTTCCTTCCTTCCTTCCTTCCTTCCCTTTTTCTCCTCATCCTCTTTCCTTTACTCACTTCTTTCTTTTCTAACTTTCATTCTCCCTTTTTTTCATTCACTACTGATTCCGAAGATATTTACTGAGCTTCGACCCTGTGTTTGACATTGTTTAATGTGTGGACTATACTGGTGAGCAAAAACAGACAGACATAGTGTCTGTCATCCTGGGTGCTTACCTTACAGTGCAGTGAAGAGAGGTGTGCCTTTATCAAACAATTATCCACATAAATGTTAAATTGCAACTGTGTTAAGTGATATGAAGGAGCACACTGTACCATGAGATTTCTAATGGGGTATCTGACTTTAGCAGGGCAGAGGGGTTAGTCACCCTTCAGGGAGATGAGGTTGAGGGCCGCAGTACAAGTATGAGAGTGAGTCTACCAGGGGCGAAGGGAGTGAAGGGGAGTCTGGGCAGGAGGCATCACAGGCCCATAGAAGGGGGACTTTCACAGCAGTTCTGATTCATTCATTAAGCTTCTATTGAGGACCTATACTGTGCTAAGGTTAAAAAATAGGAAAGAATTCCAATGTCAAAGGCCCTGCTCTGCAGGTGCTAACATGTAAGGAGTGAGGAGGTGCAGGTTCTGGGGCTCTCTAGAGGTGGGGGAATGGCAGTGAAGAGGAATGAGACCAGAAGCAGGGCGAGGCCTCGGGGAGGCCCAAAGCCAGGTGTGGAGACCCAGAAGGGCTGAGAGTCTGCACAGCTCAGTGTCATGAGCCTCCTGCTGCACCTGCCTCACCAGCCCTGTGCTCTGGTAGCCTTGCTCAGCGTTTGTGTCCCTGTCTAGCAACATTTTCTCAGTTTCTCATGCACACCTCCTTCCATACACCTTAATCAGGAATCACTCTCTGCTTCTTCACCTGTAGAGTGTCTTGAATATGTTTTATAATTTGTTCATGTTTATGTCTTCTAGACAAAGTGTTCTTTGAGAGCATAGAATGTAATGAGTGCTCAATACATATTTATTGATTATTTATCCTGTCTAGTGCCCTGCTAGTTCACAGAGTCCACCCACGATGAAACTGCTGTCACTTCTCTGCTGGTACCTTTCCTTTGCTTCTTTCTCTCCTTTCTCCCTCCTGTGTATACAGGAAGGTAGTTTCAGGACTTTCAGAAACTTCAAAGGAAAGCATCAGTAAGACCAACGATCCACAGTTTTGCCCATCTCGATGGTCTCTTTTAATGAGTTATGTCAACCAAGGCTCTCTCATTTTATTTGCTCTCTTATTCAAGATCCTCTCTCAGGAAAGGGAGAGAAAGAAAGCAATGAATTGTTGGGAAAGCCCTCCACACCAAGCATGTCATTCAGTTTCATTCTCACAAATACCCTCCAGGGCATGTGTCAGCTTATCTAATTTACCAGACAAGAAAAGAGGTCAGAAAAGTTGACTGACTAGCCCCAGGAGCCTAGGTGGTAATAGACAGCAGGACTGGGTGGGTACTGGGTTAGGTTCAAAAAGCTGCCGTGGCATCATCTGTGCTTTGTTTTCACTGCCAGATTCCAGATGATAATGTTACCATTGTCAGTATAAGTTGTGATATAGGAAATAATCATGGCCTGCCTCCCAGTCAGATACTCTTACCTCTACGAAACGGGATTACCTCTTATTCTAACATGGGTATAAGTGATCTGTTTATACCCATGTTAGAATCATCATTAATCTGTGAGTATGGGAAATCTGTTCACAAACACTGCCTTTTATAAAAAGGGCATGTTGTTATTTGAGAAGGTCTCTTTTTTTTTATTCATTCTTGAGTTGTCACAAATGCTTTGGTTTGAAGCTACAACTGGTGGCCGGGAATTAATTCTGGTATAAAAACGAAAACTGAAGATGAATGTGGCATATGTCCCATTACAGGTGGCAGCTTTTCGATGGCAGTAAGCAGAGTCCTGGAGCAGAAATCCATACTGACTTTTCACTGTGAGGGGAAAGAGCTTTTTGATTGCAAGGGATTTTCTCTCAAAATCACTTCTGCTATTTTTAGTGTTGGCTTCCTTTATTGGCGGAAACCACCACACAGATAGTTCAATTAAATTGAATCTATTTCAAACTAACAAACACTTTGTAGCACCAGGTATGTGCTAAGTTCTCATGCAGAGATTAATAAAATATGTATGTTCACTGCGATAGTTTAATAGAGCTTTAGTTTTACAAAAACACAGATAATTTACTACCATTTTGGACAAAAAACAGGGTTCATCACAGTTGAATTTAGGTAATTGATCACCCCTATGAAACTGTTTTGGGTAAAGGACCGTGAATCTCAAGCTTTCCAATGCCTATAGTTTTTTCCAAACTCTCAGAGTCTAAATCAAATCTGATGAAAATCATTTCTTTATCTACCTCTCCACCACCTCCTGCATTCCCCATTTGCCCACTTTGTGCCAGCCGTGCCAAATGATTTGTATTTTCCAAAGGCCACATGCTGCTCTTGCCTCTTCAGATAATACATAC